ATAAAGAAAATACTGCAGCACACCAAGTGGGGTTTATCCTGGGGCCACAGCCTGGTTCAATATTCAGTCAATTCATTGATTCAAGTCAATCAGTGTGATCCACTATATTGAGAGTCTAAAGAAGAAAAAAGCACGTAAACACATCAGTGGATGAAGAAAAAGCATTGACAGAATATACCATCCACTCGTGATGAAAATTTCTCAGCTAACTACGGACAGGAGAGAACCTCCTCAGCTTGACAAAGGGCATTGTCCTAACGCCTGCCACTAATGCCGCATCTAACAGTGAACAAGAGGCAGAGGTGCCCGTCCCGCCACGCCTGTCCAGTGCGACAAAGGCAGGCGGGATGGAGAGCAGCTGTCCCCACGCACAGACGTCAGGACTGTCTACATCAGAACTTCCAGGGACTCTGCACACAAATCCTAGAACTGCTGAGTGAGCTCAGCAAAGCCTCAGGATACAAGGTGAACACACAGAAACCAGTCACATTTCTATACACTATGAATGACCAATTGAAAACTGAATTTAAAAACAATACCATTTATAATAGCTCCTCCCGAAATGGAATACTTAGGTAGAAACCTAACAAAACACGTACTGGATCTGCATTCTGAAAACTAGAAAATGCTGATGAAAGAAAACATTTTAAAGACCTACATCCTAAGTAAATAGAGACATAAATTGCGTCCATGGATTGGAAGACTCACAATTGTTAGGATATCAGTTCTTCCCAAAGGGATCATAGACTTAACACAATACCAGTAAAAACTGCAGGACGATTTCTGTAGATGCAGAGAAGGAGACTATAAGATTTGCACAGAAGGGCAGAGGAAGGAGGCGGCTAAACCAGCTCTGAGAAAGCGTGACACGGGAGGACTCATGCCACACAATTTGGAGACCTACTATGTGGCTACAGTAACTAAGACAGAATTGGGGAAGAGTTAAACACAGAAGATCCGGAAATAGACTCACACAGAAAAGGCTATTTAGTCTTATTCCAAGGTGCCCAGGAATCCACGGAGCGGGAATTGTCTTTTCAACAAATGCTATTGGGACACTTGGTCATTCACACGCAAAGAAAACGGGCCCTGACCTCGAGCTCACATCTTATACAAAAATTAACTCCAGACAGATCACAGATCTGTATGTACAACATGAAACTGTAAAACTTTTGGGAGAAAGAAATTTTCATGGCCTTGGGTTAGGTAGAGAGGTCTTAGCAACGACATGAAGAACACTGTCTATAAAAAAAATGATAAATTAGATTTCATCCAAAATTTTAAAATTTGCTCTGTGAAATACAGTAAGACAATGAAAAAAACTACAGACTGGGAGAAAATATTTGCAAGCCGTGTACAGGACAAAGGACTAGAATCTATAACATAAAAACTTCTCCAAGCTTAACAGTAAAACAAACAATTCAATTACAAAATGCTGTAGGAGAGGTGACACTTTGCCCAAGAGTTAGGGACACACAAGTCGCCAGCTGTTCAGGAGATGCACATTAAATCCACACTGAGGGGGTCCTGAGGTGATACTGCCAGATGGGCTAAAATTAAAAGTTGTGACACCTGGCTGGCTGGTGAGCTGTCTGTTGGAGCACAGCCTTGTAACATCAAGGTCACGGCTTCAGATCCCTGTGTCGGCCAGCCACCAAAAATCCCCCAAAACCGTGACACCAAATGCTGGTGAGGACGCAGAGAGATTGGACCTCTCGTGCCAGAAAATGGTTTGGCAGTTTGGTATCAAGTTAAACATGACTTTATCACACAAAGCAGCAGTCCCTCTCCTGGGTGTTTACTGAAAGAAATGAAAGGACATGTGGCATGTCCACAGGAAGACCCGAACATGCTGTTCACAGCAGCTCTGTTCACAGTGAGTGGTAACAGCCAACGCCGTCACCAGGTGAGTGGTTGTCTGCGGCCCCTGCATGCAAGGGGACACTCACGGGGCACAAAGGAAGGGACCCCTGGTGTAGAGAGAAAAGGGCCGACGACTGACTGCTGGTGGTCAAGGGGCTGGGGCAGGGCTGACTGCACAGGGGTGCCAAGAGGTCCGTATTGTGGAGGTTACAGGAATCTACATGTGTGTAGAAAAGAGGAAATTTTACTGTGGGATTTTTTTTTTTTTTTAAAGACAACAGGTGAGGGGATCTTAACCCTTGACTTGGTGTTGTCAGCACCACACTCAGCCAGTGAGCGAACTGGCCATCCCTATGTGGGATCCGAACCTGTGGCCTTAGTGTTATCAGCACCGCACTCCCAGGTGAGCACGGGCCGGCCCCAGTTCTGCTGTAGGATTTAAAACCCACCAGCAGCAGGGCGAGGGGCGGCCGCGCCTCCTGCACGGCGGGTCTGGCCTCCCGGCCGTGCTCCGGCCAAGCCCTCTGCCTCGGGCCCTTTCCGGCCACCTGACTCCAGCCTGCCCTGAGCCTGAGCCGGCACCCGTCTTCACCGGGAGAGCGGCCGGGGACAAAGTCTGAGCCTCAGGCAAGGAGGGGCCTGGGCCCACCTCTGCAGGTCACGCGGGGGCCACGTGGCCGAGGCCGCAGAGCTCATGCTGCTCACCTGCACCCGCACCTGCCCCTCCGTGGCGGGCCTGGGGTCGGCACCGCAGAGGTTAACGCCTGCGCGGTGCAGGGGGCGGCAGCACTGGGCGGCGGCCCGCCGGCCACAGTCTACAGGTCTGCCAGCTGGCGGTGGACAGCACCGCCCCACTGCGCCCCGCCCACGGCTGTCACCACACTGACCCAGGTCCAGCTGGGCGGTCACTGGCTCGGGAGGGCCTGAGAGGGGGACAGCAGGTGCGCCCGGTGCAGAGCCTCCCTCTCGCTGGAACTCGGGTCAGCTCCAAAACCAGGTGAGGGTCCCAAGGGGGGCTGTCCCAGTCTGAGGGGGGCTGTCCCGGTCTGAGGGGGGCTGTCCCAGTCTGAGGGGGGCTGTCCCAGTCTGAGGGGGGCTGTCCCAGTCTGAGGGGGGCTGTCCCGGTCTGAGGGGGCCTGTCCCGGTCTGAGGGGGCCTGTCCCAGTCTGAGGGGCCTGTCCCGGTCTGAGGGGGGCCTGTCCCGGTCTGAGGGGCCTGTCCCGGTCTGAGGGCGGCTGTCCCGGTCTGAGGGCGGCTGTCCTGGTCTGAGGGGGCCTGTCCCGGTCGGGGGGGGCCTGTCCCGGTCTGAGGGGCCTGTCCCGGTCTGAGGGCGGCTGTCCCGGTCTGAGGGCGGCTGTCCTGGTCTGAGGGGGCCTGTCCCGGTCGGGGGGGGCCTGTCCCGGTCTGAGGGGCCTGTCCCGGTCTGAGGGCGGCTGTCCCGGTCTGAGGGCGGCTGTCCTGGTCTGAGGGGGCCTGTCCCGGTCGGGGGGGGCCTGTCCCGGTCTGAGGGGCCTGTCCCGGTCTGAGGGCGGCTGTCCCGGTCTGAGGGCGGCTGTCCTGGTCTGAGGGGGCCTGTCCCGGTCTGAGGGGGCCTGTCCCGGTCTGAGGGGCCTGTCCCGGTCTGAGGGGGCTTGTCCTGGTCTGAGGGCGCCTGTCCTGGTCTGAGGGCGCCTGTCCTGGTTGAGGGGTGTCTGGGTGTTGGATCCTGCCCCATTGGGTTTTCCCACTTACCTGTTTTCTCAGGCTGAGGGATCTCAGGTTGCTACATCCCTGGAGCTGGGCTGTAAGGCAGAGTCCCTCTGTCCCTGGCCCTTCCTGTCACCTACTTGTCCCTGGGGTGGCCTGGGGCTGGGGAGCTGGTTGGGGACACAGGATGGGTCCTGCCTGGGCCTGAACCTGTCATCTGTCCTGTCAGAACCTCAGTCTTGTCTCCTTTAAATGGGCTCATACTCGCCACGTCCAGGCAGGACTGCCATGAGGACCCTCCCAGTGCGTCCCACTCAACCCATGCCCGGGAGCCCAGGGCCCAGGATGGGACACACGGCCCAGCCCCACATGCCCCTCGCTGGGATGAAACCCGTGAGGAGCGTGTGCGTGCCTCGGGCTACTCAGCATGACAGGGTCCTGGGGACCCCAGCGTGCTGGCAACCCCGGGGCGCAGCTTCTGGCTGTGGCCCGTCCTGTGGGCGGCAGGGCCTGGTGGAAGCCGGCACCGGGAGAGGGCTGGCCCTCGGATGCAGTGACCCCAGTAAACCAGGGCTGGGCTCGGGGTCATTTGGGGGCTGAGACCCCTTGCCGGGCCTCCCGGGCAAAGAGAGTGTGGACGGAGGTCTGGGCTGGGGAAGTGCCACTTGGACAGTGGCACTCCTGGTCACCTTGGTCTGCCGTTCTAGGGTCACCTGGGGCCAACTAAAAAGTTTCAAAATCAGACTAGAGAAATCTGAGGTTATGGTTTCAAATAGAAACCAGATGTCTTTGTTAAGAAGCCCCTGCATTAAGGTCCTTTAATGGAGGAAATGTGTTCTCCAGGACCGCAGTTGGCCTCCTGCTGAGGACATCTGTTCCACCTGGCTCAGGCCCGACCTCAGATGCCCAGAGAGAGACCCTGCCCCGGGGGGAGGCCTGGCTGGGGGCTGCGGATTGGAGGCGGGTCCTGGGCCCCTGCACTCAGTTCAGAGCTGGGGTCCTGCTGCTGTTGAGGGGAGGGTGGGGAGGGAGGCAGGGGCCTGGGTGGGCTGCCCCCAGTAACGTGGTGCGGGGCCCACGGGGGCGACCTGTGCCTCAAACGGTGGCATTAGAAAGGGGCTTCCAAGGGCTGGCCCATTAGCTCAGTTAGTTGGTTGGAGTGTGGAACTGATAACACCAAGGTCCAGGGTTCCACCTCTATACTGTCGGATGCTGGAATAAAAATGGAGGGAGCCTTCCTGGGCCCCATCAGGGCTGTGTGTCCCCACGGGCCCCTCTGACACCCTTGGCACCCTGGGCAGTCCTGGCTCGGGGTCCGGTCTCTGGCCCTGCCCCCGTGGGTCTCCCAGCTGTTGACCGAGCCCCTGCGTCTGGAGGGCTGGGCTAGGGCCAGCAGATGGAGTCTGGTGTCCGCTGCCGCCCACCACAGGCGCCAACCCGCCCTGCCTGCCATGAGGCTGTCCTGGAAGGAGCGGGTCTCCATGGCCCTGCTGGGGGCTGCAGCGGCTTCGGGCCTCACAGCGCTGGTTCTCATCCTGGTGGAGGCCACCACTGTCCTCCTGCCCGCAGACACCAAGGTGTGGCCCCAGAACCCCGAGGGGAGGCTGGGCTGGGATGGCCAGGGCAGCAGCCCCCACGGCCTCCTAACCCCAGCGTCGCCCCCAGTTCGGGATCGTGTTTGATGCTGGCTCCTCCCACACGTCACTCTTCGTCTATCAGTGGCCTGCGGACAAGCAGAACGACACGGGCGTGGTCAGCCAGGCCCTGGTCTGCCAGGTGGAAGGTCAGTGGGCAGCTCGGCCAGTGGGTGGCGGGTCAGGAGGTGGCGCAGGCTGGAGGGACCCTGTGCTGCCAGCGGCATGTCCCTCCCCGGTCACATCCACGAGTCAGGCCAGAGGAAAAGGGCTTGGGGAGATGATGTGACTCACCCGAGCCTGGTGGCACCGGCCCCTGTCCGGCCTGCTTCCTGATGTCTCGCTGCCAGCCTGCGTGCGTGTGCACAGGTCTGTCCCCTCGGCCCGACCCTCCAGTGCCCCCACACCCTGGCACCGCGTGGTGCTGATGGCGGAGGCAGCTAGTGCAGGGGCGACAGGTGAAAAGCTGGCCCCCACATGCACCTCCTGGGGGCTCCTCCATGTGGCCGCAGCGCCGGGCCTCTGCCTCTGTCTTCGTGTGTCCTCTCCGCCATGTCTCAAATCTCCCGCTCCTTTCTCTTAAAAGAACACTGGTCATTGGACTTAGGGCCCATGGGGTAATCTGGGATGATCTCATCCCAAAAGCCTGAACTTAATTACACATGGGAAGACCCTTTTTCCAAATAAGGTCACAGTCACGGGCTCCAGGGGTCAGGACACGGGGCCATCGTTCAGCCCACCAGCCTTCAGGGCCTGGAGCCTTGTCCTGGGTGCTGTGTTTCAGGGCCTGGAATCTCTTCCTACGCCTCGGATCCTGCTCGGGCTGGCGAGAGCCTGCAGGCCTGCCTGGAGGAGGCGCTGGCCCTGATCCCAGAGGCCCAGCACCGGGAAACGCCCGCGTTCCTGGGTGCCACAGCGGGCATGAGGCTGCTCAGGTGAGGGGCACGGACCTGGCGTGTCCGTGAGAAGCAGCCGGGACAGCTGTGGTCTCGACAACTGGGGCAGAGCAGGGGCTTCTAGCCAGCTTCAGCCCCCGGTCCTCTCTGCCCAGCCAGAAGAACAGCTCTCAGGCAGGGGACATCTTTGCAGCAGTCAGCCAGGTCCTGGGCCAGTCTCCGGTGGATTTCCAGGGTGCTGAGCTCCTGACGGGGCGGGATGAAGGTGCCTTTGGTTGGATCACTGTCAACTACGTCCTGGGAATGCTGGTCAAGGTGCCACAGGCAGCCCAGGGCGGGAGCTGGGGCCTGGGGGTAGGGTGAGCATGGCTGCCCGGGCTGAGTGCCCCGTTTGGGGTCAGTACTCCTTCTCTGGAGGATGGATCCAGACGCCGCAGCAGACGCTGGTGGGCGCCCTGGACATGGGGGGGGCCTCCACCCAGATCACCTTCGTGCCCGCGGGCCCCATCCGGGACGAGAGCACCCAGGCCACCTTCCGCCTCTACGGCTTCAACTACAGCGTCTACACTCACAGCTACCTCTGCTTTGGGCGTGACCAGATGCTGAGCAGGCTCCTGGCCCGGCTGGTGCAGGTCAGGCTGGCCCCGTGGGAGGAGGGTGCGGGTGGCCTGTGGGCTGTGGGCTGTGGGCTGCGCTCAGGCCCCTCTGCCCCTTGCAGAGCAGCCCAGCCGCCCTGGTCCGCCACCCATGCTACCACAGTGGCTACCAGGCCACGCTGTCTCTGGCCTCCCTGTACGAGTCACCCTGTGTCCACACCACGGCCCCCCTGAACTTCACCCAGAACCTCACAGTTGAAGGGACAGGCAACCCTGCGGCCTGCATCACAGCCATCTGGGAGCTCTTCAACTTCTCCAGCTGCACAGGCCGAGGAGACTGTGCCTTTGACGGGGTCTATCAGCCCCCCCTGCAGGGCCCATTCTACGTGAGCACCCCCACAGCCCCTGCCCAGTGTCCCGGCTCCCTTCAGGAGCCCCAGATGCCCATCTGACCCCAGTGGGCGCAGGGGGGGCTCTGGTTGGCTTTGGGGGAGGGGTGGGGACCTGACCCAGCTCGTCCTGGGACCCCCTCTGGCCACCGGGTGTGGCTGGGCACGACCCCCAGTGCAGGCCCCTACCCGCCAGGCCTTCTCCAACTTCTACTACACCTTCCACTTCCTGAACCTCACCGCCGGGCAGCCACTGGGCACCGTCAATGCCACCGTCTGGGAGTTCTGCCAGAGGCCCTGGAGGCTGGTGGGTGGTGGCTGGGGCGCGCCCGGGCTCCCCATGCTGCAGCTGTGGGCAGGCGGGGCCTCTGAGGGCCTCCCGACGTGCAGGGCTTCCCTGGGCAGGGACTTAAAGGTGGAACCCCATCTGGGCAGCGTGGCCAGCAGGGTTTAGGGGGAGCCGTGGGAAGGGAGGACAGCCCCGTGGCCATCCTGTTACAGATGGGAGGCCCAGGGTCATGACCCCAGGTGGGCTGGGCCTCCGGTTGGCTGGGAGATGGGGCAGGTCCCACAGGACAGTGGAAGAGCATTCTGCCCACTGCCCAGCACCTTCTTCTTGCTGTCTGGAGGTGTTTTCAGGGAGGGGTCCGGGGCCCTCACCAGCCCTTGGCCTCTCGGGCCCAGGTGGAGGCCAGCTACCCCAGGGAGCACCGCTGGCTGCGTGACTACTGTGCCTCGGGCCTGTACATCCTCACGCTCCTGCTCGAGGGCTACGGGTTCACCGAGGACACCTGGCCCAGCATCGAGTTCCGGCAGCAGGTGACTGCCTCGCCAGCCACCAGGCAAGGGTGGGCCGGGGCTCCAGGGCAACCACGCTGTAGCCCTGAGCGGCCCATGTGTCCCACAGGTTGGTGGCACCGACATTGGCTGGACACTGGGCTACATGCTGAATCTGACTGGCATGATCCCGGCTGAGGAGCCAGCCCAGTGGCGGGCAGAGAGCTATGGCACCTGGGTGGCCAGAGTCGTGTTTGTGGTGCTGACCCTCTTGGCCATTCTCGGGACTGCCACGGTCTGGATCCTCGGGCCCCAGGGCTAGGCAGGGACCCAGCCCCCATAGCCCAGCGGGGTTGCTCTGTCCCACATGCCACAGCAATCCTGAGCCCCTGAGCCCTGCAGAGCCCTGTTCTGTGGGCTCTGGCTGCACAGTCAGAACCACCTCCTGGATGCCCCTGGCCCTGCTCTGCTGTTAGGGTCGCATGAGTCACGGAGACAGTGCATGGCTCACCACTGTGGCCTCCCCATCCCAGTGCCCCTGGGCCTCCCTCCACTGCACCTCCTGGGCAGCAGGTGCCTTTCTGCACAAACACCAGCCACCAGGACCCAGCAGGATTCCAAGGCTGTGTGATCACAGAGGCTGGTGTGGAGCCTGGGCACAGGGTGTGACTGCTGTGTAAGAAGAGGCGTGGCCCCAGGAGGGGCTGGCAGTGGAGACTGGGGTCCCCAGGAGCCGGCCGAGCCTCAAGAGGAGGCCCAGAGGAAAGGTGGGGGGCCGCCCAGCCTAGACCCCCAGCCCTCCCCACTGTTACCTGACTGGAGGGGCAGAGGCCAGGGACTGTGACTTACCCTGGGCCAGCCCCCACCTCTCGCCCTGTCTTGGAAGCCCACCTGGCCCCTCTCAGTCGGCAAGCCCAGAATACGGACCACACCGTGGCGGGGTATTGTTTTTATTAAAACCTTTTTGCACAGGACTTCCCAGGCTGATGTCCCTGCTGCGGCCCGGGGGTGAGCGGGGGCTCCTCACACGTGCCCGCTGCTGGGACCACAAAGCACTTAGGAAAGATGCCGATGCGGCCATCACGGTGGCCCTCCAGCCACGCCTCATCCACTGCACGGGGGAAAGTGTCTGCTCACGGACTCGGCTGGGCCCCAGGATCCCTCCTGCCCCAGGCGGCCCTTGCACCCTGGGTGGCCCTGCGCCTGAGCTACCTTCACACAGGACATCCACGGTGTCCCCCTGCTGGAAGTCCAGGTCCTCGGGCCCCTGGGCTGAGTAGCTGTGCTGTGCCACCACCTGGTAGAGCACAGGCCGGCCCCCGGCCCCCTGCCGCAGGAGGGTGGGCTGCAGGGCAGGCCCGGCACGGCAGGAGGCACCTCCCCCACCCCTCGGCTGCCCTGATCGGATGCAGTGCTCCCCTGGGCCCACCTGGCACTGGAGCTGCAGCCCCCTTGGGCCAGCAGTCACATCCCGCCACATCCGCTGCAGCGACTCTTCCCCGGGAATGGGGATCCAGGGCCCGCTGTCACCTGGGGCTCGGTAACTGCAAAAGGGGTCCTGAGGGTGGAACATGAGGCGGCCTCCACCCAGGGTGCTGCAGGGTGGGTAGTGACCTTTCACCTACGAGGTGCCCAGCTCAGAGCCCACCCCACCCCCACCCCCAGCCCAGCAGCAGGCAGGGGCTTTCTTCCTGGCCTACCTGAGCTGCCCAAGCTGCGCCTGGTGAGGGAGGGCCTGGGCCAGCAGGGCCCGCAGGCTGGAGAGGTCGGCTCCTCTTGGGGCCTTCAGGGCCACAGTGAATGCGCACTGCACGGTGACAACCACACAGGACCCAGGGCCCCCCACAGCTGCTCCCTGGGCCAGGCAGAAGGTGGGTGGACGGCCTCTGAGACCCAGGGCCAGGTCAGAGTGGGCTTCGGGTCCACAGGGTGAGGGTGGAGGCTGATCAGTGTGGGAGGGGCTGAGGGACTGGCCTGGCCTTGGGCGCCCCCTCCCTGGGGAGTGGCTGACAGGTGGGGTGGGGGCCACAGAGCCAGCACCTCTTACCCCAGCTCCCATGGGCTCCTCAGAAACGCCAGGGCCAGGCGCCTCCACTGCCAGCAGCCCTGTGGGATGGAGCGGGGACTCACGCTGCCATGGACCCCACAGCAGGAGCAGTGGCTCCCCGAACTGCGCCCCAGCCCCCCAGACGCCCGCCAGGGGCTCTTTCCTCAGCATGCCCTACCCACCGCTCAGGACTCCCTACCTGGGGACAGAGGAGCCTGCCTGCCAGCTTGCTCCACACAGGGCCCCTGCAAGGGAAGACACAGGCTGGGGGTGTGGGGGGACCCGGCCTTGGGGTGGCAACTTCTCCCACCTGGGGCTTGTCAGGAGCCCGAGTCCGGGTGCTGCCTGGGTGCTGTCCCAGCAGAGCCTGTGGTGAGGTGTGGCCTGTGAGCCACCAGGGGCTGGGCAGAAGCCACAACCCACCCATGTTGGGAGGTGGATTAATTCGGGGCACCCACCACAAGCCTACTGTCCCTCCAGGCCTTTCCCTAGGCCCACCACGAGACAGCAGCTCCAGGTGGTGGGCTCCCCAGCGACCCCAGGAGGCTCAGGACCAACCACTGCATTGGCGCAACTTTAACCTTGAACCCCAAGTTGAGCGCTCAGTGAGCGGAACGCCCGTGGGGGTGTCCCAGGTGTAGCTCACCAGCTGACGTAGGCCCTGATTTTGTGTAAGTTTGTGAATGAGGCGTTTAGATTTTAATTGATTAGATTCACCAGGCCACTTAAGGTCACTTGCACAGAGTCACCCTTATGTCAGGGGCATCAGGTGCTCAAAAACCCGACATGTGAACTTAGTGAACGCCCAGTGGAGCTTGACCGCGCGCAGTTGTAGGGGCACTATCGCTTCTAAGGAGGCCGAGCGGTTGAACTGGAATTGTTGGGACGCCAGTGAAAGAGAAGGCGAAGGTGACTGTCTCTTTTTTGTGTCCTGTAGTAAACCGAACGTTAGATGTCGGTGCCTTCTCCATACCCCCTGCACCCACCACGTCCCCCAGCTCCTGCCTCCCAGCACTGCAGGGACAGCCTCCTCTCCTCCCCACCGCAGGCTCCAGCTCGGGCGTCCCCGTGTCCAGGAAGGAAGACTGCGGGGGAGGGTGGGCAGGAGCCCTCAGGAGGCCCCTCCAGGGCTGTCTCTACCTCCTGACCTGTCCCCAGGCTCCATCACTCGTGATCACTCACACCCGTCGGGGGGAGGGGCTGTGACTGCCGGGCCTCAGGGCAGACCTGGCATAGCTGATGAGCTACGTGAGTCTCTGCTGGATACCCACCCTGATGTCCAGGGGTGCCCTGAGCCCCACAGCTCTGCGCGCACAGCCTGCCCCTCTGAGCGCCTAGTGGGGAGGATGAGGACCACTGGGCCCCGCGGTGGGCTTGTCTGTGCTGCCCCCCGACCCCCGTGTTGGGTCACTGTGCTGACTCCTGCCACACCCATCCTGGTGGAGGAAGCTCTGTACCCAGTGGGAAGCAAGGCCGCCCACCCCGCCCTGGGGCCCAGGTCCCTCACCGGCTCATGGCAGGAGACTGGTGCACAGTGGTCGGCCTGCCCCGCCTGGTCAGAGCCAACCTCTGTCTCTGCATTGAAGGGGCTGTGCTGGGCCCTGGTTTTTTGGGGGTCTACAAATCGGGCCCTAGGGGGGAGGAGGGAGGCCCCCTCATTTTCAAGGCTTGCCCAACCGTCCTCCCACAGCCTGGTCCAGCGGGTCGCATGAAAGGTGGGCTGAGATGAGGGGTGAGCGCGGAAGCAGGGGGCAGGTGGGCGTGGAGGTAGCTCCTGGCCCAGGGTTCTGGGCCTTGGGCTGTTTCCCACACCCCGTGAGACCTCGAGGGCCCCCCAGTCCCAGCGGCCCCATTGGCTGGAATCTGGGCCTCACACAGGGCTTCTGCCGGGCAGGAGAGGGACACCCACACCCAGGACAAGCTGCTTCCTACCGTGCCGCAATCCTGGGGCTGGCTTCACCATCTGCTCCCTGTCCCTGTGGGCACAGTGACAACCTTGCTCTGCTCGAGAATGTGGGGGGCACACAGGCACATCCTGTCTCCCCCCCAGTCCTTGAGAGAGGACCAGGAAAAGACTGTGTGGTCTTTACAGGACCACACACCGGATAGGACGTCCACCCCCACCAACTTCCATCGGAGGAGATTTTGGGGTCCCCAGGGAGAGGACGCAGAGCCCGAGGAGGTTCAGGGGTCCTGCAGCATCTTCTTGCCTCAGCAATGGAGGGTCCTGCAAAGCCAGGCAAGGACAAGCCTGGGCTCACCAGATGACCACCCACTCACCTGCAGCTGCCCAGGCTGGGAGCCTGAGCGCCAATCGTCAGGGCTGGTGGAGGCCACTATCTGGTGGGGGACAACAGGGGTGGCTGGGTCAGGGGTCCCTGTGAGGTCCGCTGCCTCCAGCCCACACTGCCTGCCCTGCACCTGCAAGTCTCTAGCACTGCTGGACCACCACGGTGGGACATGCTTGACAAGGGAAGACACCGTGATGATCACTGTAGCTTATTTTAGTACAACTTTTAAAGTATTTTTGTTTCTTACAAGGTCTACTGTGATAAGCAGACTCTAAATTGATGCGCTTATGCAGCTCAGAGCCCTTCTCCACCAGCCCTGGCCCCCAGGAGACGCCCCCTCACAGCACATGCCCTTGCCGGCCCCTCAGGCATGAGCCTGTGGCAGGTGACCACGGGATGTACCGCCAGCCCAAGGGCCACAGGGCAAATCCTAGGTGGCCTCATCCTGCACACGGGGAGTGGCTACGTCCTGCATTCCACACCCTGCCTTTGGGGGAAACAGACACCCACACTCTGTGATGTTGGGGTGCTGCCTGGGGGGACGTGATGTGGCCCAGGCCAGCCAACTGCAGCCCTCCCTGGGACCTCACTAACTGTGACAGAGAGGCAGAGACACTCAGAGACACAGACGCAGGGAGATGCAGAGACACAGAGACACAGGGAGGTGCAGAGACACAGAGACACAGGGAGGTGCAGAGACACAGAGACACAGGGAGGTGCAGAGACACAGAGACACAGGGAGGTACAGAGACACAGAGATAAAGGGAAGTGCAGAGACACAGAGACACAGGGAGATGCAGAGACACAGAGACACAGGGAGGTGCAGAGACACAGAGACACAGGGAGGTACAGAGACACAGAGACAAAGGGAAGTGCAGAGACACAGAGACACAGGGAGGTGCAGAGACACAGGGAGGTGCAGAGACACAGAGACACAGGGAGGTGCAGAGACACAGAGACACAGGAAGGTACAGAGACACAGAGACACAGGGAGGTGCAGAGACACAGAGACACAGGGAGGTACAGAGACACAGAGATAAAGGGAAGTGCAGAGACACAGAGACACAGGGAGATGCAGAGACACAGAGACACAGGGAGGTGCAGAGACACAGAGACACAGGAAGGTACAGAGACACAGAGACACAGGGAGGTGCAGAGACACAGAGACACAGGGAGGTACAGAGACACAGAGATAAAGGGAAGTGCAGAGACACAGAGACACAGGGAGATGCAGAGACACAGAGACACAGGGAGGTGCAGAGACACAGAGACACAGGAAGGTACAGAGACACAGAGACACAGGGAGGTGCAGAGACACAGAGACACAGGAAGGTGCAGAGACACAGAGACACAGGGAGGTGCAGAGACACAGGGAGATGCAGAGACACAGAGACACAGGGAGGTGCAGAGACACAGGAGTACGTGGCCGCAGTTGAGTTGTGGGGCGGCACCACCACAGCGTCCTTGTTGGGAGGGCCTGAGCCACTGCGCTGCAGCTGGTTCTGGTAGGTTCCACATCCAGCCCCACAGCCCCATCTGGGGACACCGTGCCCCAACCCTGGAGCCACTTTGAGGTGGGTCTTGTGCTCACCTTCTACCCACCAAGGCTTTAAAACAACCCTGACCAGCCGCACGTGGTCCGTGAACACAACTGAGTGCTCAGAGAAGCCAGGCTCAGCACAGGCCTGCTGGGCACCGAAACTGCCCACTGCTTTACCTTGGCCTTGCCCAGGAAATCCATGGGCTCCAGGTGCTCCAGGTGCTGCCTGCGTGGCCGGAAGACCTCTCCCCTGGGGACCTGCCGCGGCTGCAGGGAGCCCTGCTTCTGGAGGGGGTGGTTGTCCAGCTGATGCAGACCTGGACCAACCAGGCCTGCAACCGCAGGAGCCCCTGAGCTCAGCAGAAAGGGCCACGAGGGGCTCCCACCCACTTCCCATAGGCCATGGGAATTCCCCGCCCGGCCCCCACATTTGGGCACTTGGGCCACCTCCCTCTGGGAGCTTCTTCATCTCATGCAGTGGGCCTTCAGGGGTGGAGGTACAGACATGAACCCCAAACTGTAGGCTACGGCCTGGCACCCCAACCTGGGCCAGCACCCCTCACCTGTACTTGGTCCAGGGAAGCGTGCAGGCCGTCCCCAGCCCCCTCCGGACACGTGGAGATGGCCTCCAGTAGGCTGTTAGCAGCCTCTGTCCAGAGCCCCAGCCGGCACTGCGCTGACGCCACATTGTACAGTACCTAGGGTGAGGCCCGAGGTGATGGCAGGGGCCAGGTTCCACAGCAGATCCCTCCCCTGGACCCACACCTGGGCTCCCCAGCCACAGCAGCTGAGGGCTCCTCTGGGTGTCCAGCTGACAGGGGGCTGTGAGCAGGGACCAGGCCACCTGTGACCGGCCTGGAGCAGTCGTGGGCAGTTGGAGTGGTCACATTCCTATGCCCGTCTTGCCCTCCAGACCCCAGCTGGGGCCATCCATTGCTTTGGGCTCTTTACTTCTGGAGCCATCAGAAGCTGATCTCTCTTTAGAAGCATCCCTGAGTGGTGTCACCCCATCTGCCTCTGGCCACAGTCCCTCCTGTGTGCCACTGCGTCCCACTCCCCTGAGGGTCCCTGCTGGGGTCCAGGGAGCACTCAGGACACTCCCCCCCACCCCCCGGTGAGAAAGGCGTTTTCATGGACAGGTTGGTTTGGGTTAGTGCTGTCCCGCAGCATTGGTGACATGCAAAGTCACACGGTGCTCCTGGGAACTCACCCTTCCCATCCAACCCTCAGCTGCTGTGGGGGAGGGGAGGCGCAAGTGCCCTCCCAGTGTGGCTTTATTTCAAGGAGAGAAACCAACCCAGCCCTTCCCATGCCCCTCTGATCCCACGGCCTGTCACCCACAGCCAGTGGCTGTCCTCTGGAGATCCTGTGGTGGGGCCGGGCAGAGGTCACGTCTGAGCCAACCCCCACCCCCACCCTGCACCGTCCAGTGCACCTGGGCCAGGTGGGCCAGGTGGGCCCACACCCACAGCTTTCCCCATGACTCATTTATTGCCACACCTGCTGTTCCAAGAAGGCTGCAGGGCAATGAGTTTCCAGAAGTAAGGGGGGTTCCTCCCAATGCCCCTCCCTCTGTACCAACACTGTTCCAGGCAGTGGGCACGGGGCCAAGCAGAACAAAGCACAGAACCGAGGGTGGGGACATCCACCTGCCCTGCTCCCTACCCCCGCTCCTGCTCCTGGGTGGAACCCCTGCTAGCCCGCAAGGGCAGAAAAAGGTCCTCCCACCTCCACTGCTGCCATAGGCCTCCTCGGGGCAAAGGAGTAGCCAGAGGGGATTTTGGGGAACCAACAGCCTTTGGCCAGAAGGGAGCATCTCAGTCCACACAACGCCACCTGAGATGGTGACATCGCCCGCAGACAGCCGCCCCCGGCAGCCAGCAGCCCAAAGGAGCCCTGCACCCTCTCACCTCCCAGGCTTGTAGCTTGAACCGCAGGCCCAGCTGTGTATAGTCGATGGCACTGTTGCCCCTCAGCTGTGCCAGGGCCAGCCGGAAGTCGGACAGGGCCTCCTGGAACCTGTGGGTAGCAGGAAAAGGGGCCAGGCTGGCCGAGGGATGGCTCAGGGGTGCCCAGCCCTGCCCCGGCCTTCTTGCCCCTCCATACCCCACCCCCTGCTCCAGGGAGAACCACTGGGAAGTCAGTTGCGGTCACCCAGGTCTTAGCACTTAGCACTCGAGTCCAGACAAATGGTCAAGGGGTCAATACACAAACGTGCTGAGCTGGTGGGGGCACCGCCTGCTGGGGTTTGAGTTTATTGCCCAGCTCTGACTCAACTTTCTGGGCACCCCACCTCCCCTGCCTGCGTCTGCACCCTGACCTCTCCCAAGTCACACAGAGTGCCCTGGGCATTTCCCACCCACTTCTCAGCGCTCCCCCTGCCCCTGTGGGGTCCTCCCCCTACAAACTCTGAGCTTCCTTCCACGTCCTGCTGGGAGCCCCCCCCCCACCTCCTCAGGCAGGCTTGCTGGGCTGATCAGAGGATGAAGTTGTCCCCAGAGCTGCCCTCTAGGGCTCATCCTGGGAGTCAGGGAGAGAGTCAGGCACAGAGGCCAGCCCTGACGGTCTAGGAAGGCCACGGTACAGAGAGCCCGGTGGGCAGCGAGGCTCCAGAGACGCGCGTCCAGCCCTGCCCTCGTTTCCTGGCAGCACAGTGGGCAGAATCTCACCATCCCTGCTACTATGGAGAACTGGTGAGCAGCGAACCAGGGGTGCCCGAGAAAGTGCCCAAGAGTCTCAGCAGACGCAAGGGCCACAGTGGGGCTCTGCTCTGTGTTCGGCTCATGTGACCACAGTATCCTCGCCCAGGCAGGGAGAGAGGAGGGGGTGGGAATACGAGACTGCGCTGTGCAGAGACAAAGGGCCGTCTGAGGAGGAACAAGGCGGCCCTGTGCTCACCGCTCCAGCTGGGAGTTGGCCACCCCTCGCTGGAAGAAGCCGACAGCCATGCAGGCGTCCTTAGTCACTGCTTGGTCAAATGCCTGGGGACAAAAATGCCCATGGGAGGTCAAGGTCCATAACCTGGTCACCCAGTGTCATAGATGCAGCCTGACCAGTGACAAGCCATAGAATTCCATCAGCCCCGTGAGAGACGCCTTTGGGCCCCTCCTGCACCTGTCCAGGTGTGTCCCAGATCAGGTTTCTTTGCTGCTAAAACCTAAATTGACCTGAGCAGCCTAGGGTGTGTCACAACAGACTCAGATCCAGTCAAGGTGGTGTCGGAAGTCAATTCGTTTACCATGAGAACAAGGAGAGATGCTAGAAGGAAATGCCCCAATAACAGTCACCTGAGGCGGAGGGGGGATATGCAAGATTTTCATCTTTTCAAAATCCTTTTTTCTGTAGTTCATACAAAATGACACACTAGATATGTACGGCAATCAGAAGGAACAACACAAAAGCTTCAGTATGATGGGCTTATCTGTGTGCACACACGGCTCTTCCTCAAACCAGATGCAGAAACAACAGGGACAGCAGCCATCAGTTAAATAGGGCAATAGCACGGGTGTTGTGGTCTCACTGTAACAAACCTGGCCACGTTGAACTGTTCCACCTGCTTTCTAAATTCCCATATTTCCACCTAATCTGCCTGTGCTGCGGCTGCTTACGTTTACTGACTTAGTGCCGCTCTCTTCCTATGCCCTCTCTAGTTAGATCAGTTTGTAAGTGGTGACCGAGTTACCTTACACGTGGCTCGCATCGAACCACCTGGTGACCAGTGATTAGATTCCCTTTCTCAGGTAACTTTTTAAAACTGAAATCGTTATGAGATAATTGTAGATTCATACGCAGATGTAAGAAATGATAGAGTGGGCTCTGGAATGCTTTGTCCAGGTCCCCCCGTGGTTACATTTCTCATGACACTGACATTGATACTCTCCTGCAATGTTCAGTCCTCTTTTCATCTGCGTGGTGTTCCAGGCAGCTATCATGATTGTCCCAACACCTGTAGGGACCTGGGTGCTTCTGTGGGGGGCTCGGCCAAGTGGTGGGCAGGGTGCTGCTGGCTTTGTCGTGCATCCGGGAACACGCACCACTTTGATGCGCAGGGACCCACAGAGAGGCAGAGGGCGGCTCTGCCTCGGCAGCAGGTGAGTGCCCTGGGCACCCAAGTGCTCGCTTCTGTTTGCGGAAGCAGGCTGGAAGACAGGTGAGGGCTCAGATCTGGGGGACGGGCCTTGTCCCCTTGCTATGACCACAGGTGTCTGCTGAATCCCCCCAACACCTTCACCTTAGGGGACAGGCACCCCCCTCGCCTGACCCGCTGAGCCCTGTCAGGTATTGTTTCGCCCTCCTCCGTGAGCACTGTGTTCAGGTGTGTCTCAGGTATGCGCTGAGGCGGACACTGGGAGGGACAGTTCCCAAGTGACCGGTAGGGAGGAAGCCCAGGGAACCACCGTCCCCTGCTCCCATGACCATGCGGTGAAGGGCAGGGGTCCCTTCCCCAGGTGTGCACGGGGAGGATGACCCCCGCAGGAGGGTCTTGCTCGCACTCTCCCTGACCTCCCCAGGGCTGGGGTCTCCCCCCGGCTCACCAGCAGCGCGGCCTCCGGGTCCCCGGCCAGCAGGTGCACGCAGCCCACGTTGAAGCACATCTTGGCGGGCGGCTCCGGGACGCCCGCAAAGAGGCGCAGGGCGCAGTCCCAGTCCCCGCGCTCCACGGCCTGCGCGCCCCGGTGCCAGTCGCGCACCAGGTCCCCGAGCGAGGGCATGGCGGCGGCACCCCTGCCCGGCCGGG